CTGCCAAATAGAAGTGGGCCACAGATTATCCACACACACTCCGTTAACCGCAATACAAATATTTCATCTATATATCTGCCACATACACCAAGGAGCTGATTGGTTCGTTCAACTAATTACTCTCTATTTTGCTAAAGAAGACTTCTGTGAGCAACGGCCCCAGTGGCAAACTCACAGTCACTCCGTTTATTCGTCTGTATGTTTGTCCGTTAAGCTGGAACTGGATGATTTTCGTGTACGTCAGTAGTAGTTGCCGCAGCCGAACCACGTGTATCCCGAAATATGGGTCCACTCACTTGCCCGCTAATTGATTCCCAGTAGTCTGCTTATAGTTTTAGATCATGCACTGTAAATTTGGACTACGACAGACAATTCGAATTGGAACCGCAGGTCATTTTGTGATAAATCTTCGTCATTTTGATAGGCTGCGCTCGTAATCAAAGTATAACCGATTTTGATGATACGCAGCATTATAACGGTTGTATCTACTATCCCTGTACTAAAATGGGTTACCTTCGTTATCGACGGATATCCTGCTACTAGCTTTAGGACACCAGCACGTGTATTGATAGAAAGCAAACCGATGGTAGAGTGTAAACTTGCGAATAAGCTTTGGTTCAAAAAAAATATTTGTTCATAGTAAAACTGTGCTGCAATCAGAAACGAACAGTTGGTTTCTCATAACCCAGTAGGAATATTTAGCGGGTCCGACAATCATTTTGGTCTTGGGATTCGGTAGCCCCTTCAGTGCATTAGTCAACCACCACGTAGTCCAGGCTTCGATAGGTACCTACAACGTTGGTAACCTCAAAACGAAAGTTTGCAACCTTGAATAATGGTCACCAATCTGAGGCAACGAATGTTTTCAATACCGCATTTTACCGAATATAAGCCTGCCCATGGATAGACCGACAGCATAACTTTGCGATATCAAAATTGTCCAAAATCTTAACTCCCTACATTAGCCGACCTCCGCGCCCAAAAATCAGCAAAGAGAGAATGAAATGCAATTGTTTCTCCACGATTTTGAAGTCATCACAACCTGCTATCATGAGTGTGTTCAAGCAAAACCTGCTATAATCTTGGTCAGTTGTAGTGACCGTAATGTATAAGCGCTCTTGAATCGCTACCCAAAATAGCACTAACGCGAAGTCACATGATCCATGATACCGTCCGTCCCTAGCGGATGGTGCTAAGGGAAGATTGTGGGAAGGGTGTGCATGTGACCTTTTTCAAATGCCTATAACCTTTTTATAAGCGGACCCCCTCTAAAGCAATGAAAAATTGTCCAAAATTTGTCGGCTTTTATTCGGTAATATACGGTAATTCCTCTACGGGTCAGTGCTAATCGTCTCATCCTAACATACAACGAAACGTTCGGTAATCGGTTCGGACATTTGTTTAGTCATAAGTAGGTCAATGGTCAGACATCAACCAGCTCATCGCTATTTTGTTCACACAGTTTGATTGGGGTAACGTAATCGCACTGACGGCACCGGTGTCAGAGGGATGGTTAGGTTGATTGCTACTCCACCAGGCGGAGGGAGTGAAGAAACAATGTCGTGAGCACAGCGGAGGTTGGAATATTCGGATCGTAATAGCCTCAGTCGTGGCGACTATTGTTAACCGCGAACCTTAGATTCGCTCATGTGAACCTGATCCATCACAGCAAAAGCATTCGAGAGGTTACCTAGATGACCAGATTCGAACAGGTGGGACAAAATACCGCCTGTGAGAATTCTGGTGCCGCCATTCACTAACTATTAAGTGCTGGGTCCCTTACTGAGACTTGACAATTAATGGGCGTTCGATCAATCTACACGACATATACACTAACATCGATAGACTGAGTAAGAGGAGGTCAGCTTCGGCAGACTGTCTTTGTGGCACAGAGATATTAGCTGCTTCGTGTCGAAGACACCCCACAGTCCCGTAGGCGTAAAGTGTACCTTATCACTTGTGCCCGTTATCTTGTTACAAGTACACCAACTGTACCATCCCTAAAAGAAGAACGGATGAAGACATGTATCCTTGTCACAACTTCGCAACGTTCCATGTTATTTTTAGCTGCATATTGCGCTGCATAAATCCTTCCAGACAAGTATTTTTGTACAACGTGCTCTGTATAGATATAATCTCATCCTCCAGAACGTCTTCTGAACATCTCTGTTATGCCGATGATGTGAGACAGCGTACGAAGTTGCCTTTGTATTTAGGTGGTAACATATTCTCAACGATTGTATACTGACCGGGTCATGCCTTCTTTTGTATGTCCTACTTATTTTGCGGTCATCAGTTCGCCTACTCGGGGGTACATCCAGAAACGAGAGTTGGCCATCATGTCCAAAGTTTATGAATTTGATTGCCAGGTGCGCACTATGAAATTCTACCAGCCAATCTTCCAGCTTTATATCTTTGTGGGTCAGGCAAGAGGTCATCTGGATAACGATAGTGATGGTCGAAAGCTATACGTGGACCCAGTGATTCCGTTTCAAGTTTGGCAAGGAAAATATAAATCACAATGAGCGTAATGGGGCTCCCATTGCGATTCCCTCAGTCTGCCGGTTGAACATTGTAAGTGCATCGCGGAAGCAATTCTTTCACCCTTGCTAAGGGTTTCCTCAAATAAATCCTATTTTAGTGCACATAACTGCATAAGCATTCTATCGGTCCTAGTAGCGCTACATTCGTAAAGAACGAAGAGACATCGAGTGAGAACATTTTTTGCATTTAGGTACCCATCTTTAACGTGCGATACGAATGTACAAATATCAGGAACAATATGAGCAGTTAGTTTTCGGTCGTTCCAATATTTCTGGTAACCACTGGGCTGTGAGATGGTACGCTGAGTTCATCACAGCCAATATTGGACATGAGGGTACGCTTACATTGTGAACTTTACGGGGTTAATATTCTTACTGGCCTCATAGTTTCAAATGCAAATTAATTTATCAATCCGCAAGTAGACAGATCTTTCAGTAACTTTGAAAAATTTTCTTTCGCTTGCCTGTTGGGTCCTTTTTGTTCACATGTACCCAAAGCTTTGTTTAATCCTGGAGAATGTGACCTAATTTTTAGATGGACACGTTTCTATTCATTACGACTATAGTAATACCTTTATCCGGTTTGAGGATAAATGTATCTTTCTTCGTTTTTACCCCATTCAAAACCGCCAAATGTATACGTGTAACCAGGCCACTTTTGAACATACTGTCGTCCTTTTTTATATATTAACCTTCTACGAGTTGTATGGGGTCCGTAAATAAACCATATAACGAAAATTATTTTCGAAAATTTGTTGTCTTAGCCCCTGGTTCGTTTTAGCATGGTAATTCGAACCGTTGTATCGAAAGCGGCTGTTAAGATGTGGAATCATCATCATTTCAGTATAAGGGGAAAAGTCATCTGGATTCCCAGGAGCAAAACTGTGCCTTACCTTTAATTTCCGATTCACTAATGGGTTCGTGTTCACCATGTTCGCCACATTGTTGATTAGCTTTATGATCAGTTTGGCCATATGGTAACCGGGGGCGGCCTTTCCTCCTATCATCACTGTGCGGGCACAGATGTTGAGACTGGGATTTTGCCGAATGCGATTGTAAAGGGTGATGATGTGTAGACAGTTTAACAGCTGACGTTTGTACTCGTGAATGCGTTTGACCTGTTATGGAGAGATAAAATTGGTTCATTAGCGCAGTTTGTTACTGAAAACTCGGATGTTTATAAGTCATTACCTGACGGCGCACTGATAACCCGGTCATGATATGTCCCAAGCCTTACTTTGAGGCCAGTGCCCCATCCATGGCACACACTTGGGATCTAGGATACTACCGCGTAGCTTACAAGCTCTTCCCTTTCGGTTTTCTCATACAGTATCAAACCGATCCATAGGCAAAATGCATTAAGTAGCTGAATGCTGCCCTCGCTCGCTTGGAGTGCTACCCCCAGGGCGAATCACCGATTCAAACGCCATGGCTGAGTAGGCGGTTTTCTTTTTAGAATGCATGCCTTCAGCCAACCTTTTGCAAAACGCTGGCTCCGCTATGTATTCATAATTGATTCAAAAATCGTATGGCTACCCAACAAGCGGATAGTTGCTACTATTCGGAATTCTTTAGAAAGACTGAAGCCAACTTTGACTACGTTTCCCTGAGCATAGTTCTCTGTATACAACTAGGCGAGGGAGTCCGTGGCTCCATGGGACTTGTGGTGCTGAGTTCCTCGCTGTTCAGTAAACTGCTGTGGCTGCGGTTTCCCACTGAATTATGTGCTGGACGCCTCCTCGTAGCAACCGCTGGGTGAGGGTTAGGTTACGCCATTCTTCTAGCTAAGAAGCAGGACACGTCTGCGCGATTCGATTGACCCACGGTGTAATTCGTACTGAGTTTCGGGAGTAGACGTTATCGAAAACTATGGATGAATATTCGGATCGTTCCCCTGCTTATTTGTAAGCTCCTGGCAGCATATCACCCCAACTGCCAATCACGAGGGCCATAAACCCAAAAAATTTAATGCTGCGTAGACGCAACGCATTGGGTAGATAAGGATCGTTTTATCTGCTGCATCCAGCTGGGCGGGTTAGAGAAACCATCTTCTCGCCGAGGCGCTCTTTCTTCTCCACTCTCACTTTAATTTCGCACCTTTCAATCCCAATTGCGCCTGACTCACGGAACTATCCCCACTCCAATCCAAAGTCTACATCTACCAAACCATCCCAATGGTTTATCCTCAATTGTTCCTCGTGATTGGACTCGTTCTGATGAGTGAGCAGTTATTCTTGATGGATCTTTTCAATGCGCCTCGAGGGTGGAGCCAGTCAGTATGCTATTGACTTAGCCCATGGGAACGGTAACCGCTTATTCACATCGTGGCCCACCCAAAACTTGATGAACACGAACACACAGCTCCCACTGGGTGAGAGTGATATTCCTACTTGGACACACCCACGGGGTGGCGATGATCATCCGCTTGACTACTTCCCCACCAGCGCAATATGCATGTGCTGCGAGGAGAGCAGTGTGGAACGGATCAAAAATTGTTTGTCTCTCGTTTGTATGTTTGTTTTGGCAAATCTATATACCGTTCTCCTGCTGTGCACAGACACAAAACTAACGTACCTTCTTTTGGTAACATTAGGAATGGGCTTGACTGGGGAATGTGGTGAGGGCCAGCCTTTGCGAGATCGCAGCCTTTAATTTAGTAAGCCCAATAGCATCACCTGAAGGGACAGACGACCAAAGCTGTTGAAGAGACGATTGGGGCGAAAATGGTAAGCTACCCGATTGGCGTGATGATAACAGTGAGCTAATTATCGTCATGGTATCAGAGAAGACTGCAGCATATGATTCACACGAGGACAATCTAGAATATGCAAAGAAGAGGCATACTACCATAAGTACCGTCGGAGGTTAACCCGACAGCCCTGTCGTATCAAAAACACATAATGGCTAGAAAAGGTAATAAAGATCGAATGCCACGCCGAATGCCGCCAGCATGAATTCCATGGTAGCAAGAATGAAGCGGTAAGGAAACAAAATTGTCATTGCATGCGATCATGGTTAACAAAGCTTTCACGCGCGCGTATATAAATTTGCGTCTCGTTTCTATCCCACAGCACACCACATAAAGTAACTAACTACTCGCCACATCAGTGTCTCGATTCATCCCAAATTGGGGAATCTTCCCTGTCTGTTTGACCCCCTTATTTTCGCTTCCGTAAATCGCATACTGACCACTCTTAATCTGTTCTACCACTCCTGATTTGTTAGATTGCAGTCGCTTTACTCTGCTTGCGGCTACTCCTGTAGGCATCAACAACGATCTTTCAAGCAATACTTTCTGTGTTTTCCTCGGCTGCCGTCCACTACCGTTCGTCGTCTGCGATCTCTCTCGGCTTGTTCCATTCCGCTTCCGTTGCTCCATCTGGCCTCGCGGCTGGCACTTGGGCGTGTTTTCTTTCTTTCACCTTGTCTTGGCTACCCTGTCTTTCGAGTGGCTATAGACTTTTGCTTCCCTACTTTATAGCTATTGAATGTACTACATGGAACTATCCCACCTGCTGACGCTGGTGGGCACCACATCAGGTGTTACCTACAATGCGTTTGCAGAAGTCATAATGGTGTGGCGCAGTCTTTGACCAAATATTGAACAACCATGCCAGCTCGAGTAGAATATGATGCACCGACCCAAAGAACGAAGTGCAAAGAACGGCCTTGCATGAGCGCTGGAAGAGTATGAATTGAACGTAGATCACCTGCTGAACTATAGGTGTGATGACGCAGATGGAATTCTGCTGGAAATGTTGCGTATGCTTCATCACTTTGTAGAAAATATCTGGAGATTATAAAGCGTATCTGCCTTGCGATACCGCTTTGTAAGAGCAAAGAAAGTCGACAGAGTGCCGACTATTGTCGTGGTAACAAATAGTTAAGTTGCGTCCAGAGGGGGATTACACGGATCTAAATCAATGGACTCGTCACACATCCTCTGGAAATAAACGAAACCGAAGAGAATTGTGGCTTTCTTCCGGAACTCAGAACAATCCACTTAACATCCACGGATCATCAAATGCAAGGAAAGTACGGTGAAAGAAATAAGAATGAACTAGCCGGCAACCAGCCCACTGCGCCTGCACTTCAAAGGTCCCTTGTCAAGCCATAGTTCCCCAGGACATCAGTTATACAAGCAAATATTGCTGCAATGTTCAGCCGGGAGATCGCCCTTCCGGTCTCCTAAGTTGCAAACACCGCTAACTTGAAGAGAGAAACAATAGACAATCACCCCTTGGCAGCAGGTCAGGACAATCCATTACTCTACCTTGTAACTAGAGGAACAAACCAGCTAACAATAATGCCTTGACTATTGTGTGCTCAAATGTCCCCGAAGCTACCGCTATCACATTGCGTGGTAACTTGTCGGACGACCAAGACCGGCGGAACTCATTGTGCGCCCTGATGAACGTCAAAGCCAAACCCATAGACCTAATAAGGTTACTTGCCACCCGAACTCTGCACACTATGGGCAACCCAAACTTATTCGAGTAACACTAGAATCCTCGTTGATGCAGGAAACGTTTCCGTATTTGCGCTACAACACGGCTCATGTGGGATATGCGTCTATACTGGTATCCTTTGGAACGTGAGGCAATCGAAAAGCGATATCGAAATTGGACACCGCAAGCAAGATCGCCGAAACACAATCCTCATCCATAGAGTGCCACAGATCCCTTCCAACGATAAGCAAGAGCCCGAAAATCAGGATTTGGTACAGTGCCGGTTCAATAGTGACTTTCTTCGGATAATGTTGTGGCGCTATGAATGAAATGGCCTCCCTTCTCACCATTATAGAGGATGCGGTCCAAGAATCCTGAAACTTGTGGTTGAGCCAGAGCAAACAGGGACGGAAGTTCTGGATCGATGGCGTAGAACTCGGAAAAGTCTTTCTTCTAAAGTTCGGTTAAAGACTGTAGAAGCTTTGCAAAGTCCAGTTATCAAAGCATCTGAAGCAGCAAACGTACCGGAGATGATACAAGAGCTTCACGTGACTGCTCCTTTGTTTGACTCTGGCGCAGGTCTAAACGAACTCTGGGATGCGCCTTGGCCAAAGCAAGTTACGGACTAGGTATAAGTACCCCGACAAAAATTTTGTAACAGCCGACCTCCCATCAGTCGACATTTTTCCATATTTGACTCTTTCATCTCCCTGCGAGTTGCTAAAGACCGAGAAACAAACACGCTTGCATACGAATGCTCCGGGTCAGTTCACTAAGCTAGCCGAACTGAAAGATTACCGAGTTTCTGAGTCATACGATATCATTGGTATCACTGAGACGTGGTTACACACTGGAATGACTGGCGCTAGATTTTCGTTACCGAGCTTCTCGTTCACCCGAAACGATAGACTCACAAAAGGAGGAGGAATACTTTCGTATTACTGAAGCGACTTACAGTGCGATGCAATTGAGGATTCGCACTCGCAGCTATCCGATTCTCTTTGTTGCCGCCTGCAGTTAAAATGCATTGACGCTTGTCTTGTTGCCTTCGTGTACTGTCACTAACTCTACAACCGAAACAGGATATTAACTTGCGGCTGCTTTAAGATGCACCCTAAAGGAAAGACACACCCACATGCCTATCATGCGTGATTTCAAGGTACATTGCTTGCAAACTACTGTCGCGATAGAATGATTTATATCCGATCTGCAGGAGCTCGCTACCAATGTTCCGCCTTACAATCACATCACTTTGCCCTTTCGGTTCAGGACAGGTAACAGGTCATCGGTGCTGGATCTTGTGCTTACCAGAACTAGAGTATAAAGTCCACACCTCAGTGGGAACTAACAAAGCGGTTATGCACGAAAAGTAAGTTTTATAAGACATGTCAATGGCTTTATTAAGGTGCAGTACGGAATTTCATTGTGGTGCACTACTAATGAGCAGCATAAGGAAACGAGCAGGCGCGATGAACTCAGCGAACAATGGATCACTGCGGACGACGAGCGCGTAGTGCACAATTCAACCAGCCATGGAAACGGATGAGGCTGGAGTTCTGGGCTTATACCACACCGTCAAGGCAACCAGAGTCGATAGCACACCACGAATAAAGTGCTCAAATGAGTCCGACTGTTCAATGTTCAAAATGTTACCTCATGTATACGTTCGT